CTGCGTGTGAAGAGGCATAAGGAGCGTTTTTTTTTTTTTTTTTTTTTTTTTTTCTTGGATTAACCGTTCCCCCTTTGTCCTCTGTCTCCTTCCTGAGCAAGGCGAATTATAACAGATCAACGTGGCTAACCACACGTACGTTGCGTCAAACCCTTTTGGCATGTGTCCCTTTTCCCCCCTGTGGGTGGAAAAAAAGGCTCGCGAATCAAGCTTCTATGTTTTGTTCGCAAGTCCCATGCCACGATTGCGCATGAGTGGACTCACGAATTATGTGCACATCCCCCCCAGGGCGACACCTTTAATTGCAAAATGAACTTGGAAAAAAAAATAACGTTTTACAAAAACAAACTCAGGCAAAAGGACGAGGAGGATCAGGCGAGGTTTAAAAAGGCCGTCAAATTTCAAAACAATTTTTCTAATATGCAAGATGAATTCGTTAAGAGGAAAGAATTGTATAAACTTCAGGAGGAAATAAAAAATTACAAACACAAAATGGCGCAGCTGCAAAATGAAAATGGCTCTTTAAAAGGGAAAGTAAAATTGTACTATGCGGAAGTGAAAAAATTAAAGCAAGAAATCCAAGTGAAAGATAAGCGCATTATTCGCTTGATGGCGGAAAATCACGTAGCGGATAAATTGGGCCGAGAGATGTGCCTTCCTGCGCACCCTCAAAGATGAGCGGGCGCACACGCGCATACATTAATATTTGTACGCTCCTTGCGCTGTTGAAGGGCCATCATCCCAAGTGTACATTCCCCCGAGCGCATGATTGTATTATTTGTAATACAAAACAGAGTTTTAAAAACTCAGTTTGCCCTTCCCCATTTTTGCATTTTCGCCGCGTAATTTTATACATAATAGGCGCAACATATTGAGGGCCTTCCCCACGCCCAGTTTTAATTGGCGCCGTTTACGCAGTTAGGTTTTTTTTTTTCCTTCCATTTGCTTCGTTCTCTTTGTTTGTTTCGTTTCGCCTTTATTTTTAATCGCCCATTTGGACGCTATACACCATCAACATGACACGTAGTCGTATGTGAAAAGGTTTAAAAAAATGCAAGGGGAAACGGAACAACATGGAAAAGGGGACAGGGGAGGGGAAAAACTCCCCGTCACACAAACGCACAGGGAAGGAAGAAGCGCAAATGCAGACGAAAACACAGACACGCCGCGCACCGACGCTTGTCGCTTCACAAATCATGGATGCGCTTTTGGATGTCCTCCAGCACCTTGTGCGAGCCCGCAATCATCTCCCCGTTTTCCTAAAGTGGAGCAAAAAAAGACGAAGGGAATGATTACACGTTCAGCATAAGTACGAAATTGGAAAGGGGGCAATATTCGACTTGACCAATTAGGGGGGGGACCTTGTTCTCAAGATATTTCTCCGCCTTCTTAACCGATTTTTTCACGTTTTTTAGCTGCAAGGCTGTGAAGGACGTGCCGTACCAGGGGCACATATGTGCACAAACGTGTCTCTGTACATTTATGGGCACACCCATTTGTGCAGGCACATACCAATAACGCATGTATTTTACGTATCATATAAAGAGCATGCAAAAATGTCACTCTATATAAAACCTATGCTTTGAAAGGTGTCCTTCATTTTATCCCTCTCGCTGTATCGTCGCTGTTCCTCCTCCTCCAGCAGAACCAACAGGTTGTCGATGCTGAAACTGAATTGGTCAGTTTCCTTCCGCTCCAGTTCGTTCTTGTTGCTCTTCGGGGTTGTTGCAAATGGGTGGTGATGGCCGCACAAATGAATAAATAAATAAAACGAAATGAAGGGGAAAGAAATGCCCCCACAGAGGTGTACGTGTGGGTGCAGATGGAGGATGTGGAGACGCCGTTTCGAAGCAACCCTCCCACACGGGTCACACCTTTAGCAGGAAGTTCAAGTTGTCCTTGTAAACGTCGTCCACTATTTTGCTGAGAAAACATTTTCGTTAAAATGAGCGCTGAATTGGTGTCTACATTGGCGCTCTTTCGGTGTCGCGTTCTTTGCACTGTTCCTTTTTTTTTTTTTTTTCGTTTTTCCGCTTACTCCACACCATTAAATGACAAATTTTTATCATTCTCAAAAACAGCCAAACCCATTGTGCCAAAAAAAAAAAAAAAAAAAAAAAAAAAACTGGGTGAACCTTCAACAA